TTGTTGTGCCTAAGTTGCAACATACCCCAAAACTCCTTAGATTTGCATTTCCATGTTTTAAGTCCCATGTGCGTCTCTCTTGCTTTCCTTCTGAAGGGAGGGGACTACTTTACCACCAACATTTTTAGCCCTGCATTGTGTTATCCCGACTTAGCCGTTGCTATTCAGCCTCTCATCTCTTTTCCCCAAACCTCTGAGCTGGAGATGAAATGCTGGATGTGAACTCGGAAACCTCTCTGGGAAAGGCCAGACTGTGTCCTGAAGCTGCGTCCTCTCCTGAGGCAGCTATTCATCCCTGCTGTGGGTCTTCTTTTACGATCCCCAGGCTTTCCTTCTGGACTGGGAAGCCAATGAGGAGGATTAAACCTGGCTAGGTTGTGATGGAAGTGTCAGAGATGTAGGGCAGCCTGGAAGAAAACAATGGCAAACCATTTATGTTCTGTTGTGAAGAAGCCATCATGGATGTGTTTATGGAACCTGCAGGTGCCAGGCTCCATTTGGAAGAGATTTTATCTCTCTGTACTTCCTCTCTTGCTCCATTTTTTCCATTGTTTGGTTCCTGTCCTGAACTAAGTGAAGAAAATACAAAATTTATCTGAGGACATTTTAGTGCTCCTTACCTCTCTCAAGTCCCGTATTTGCCTGGAGTGATAGTTATGAAATGGCTCAAAGTTGGTGACCAAAGCATGTGGAATCCATTCCCCACTTTCCAGTTGGGTGTCTTCACCACAACCAAGTAGGCCCTTGTTTGCATATTGCATGATCCATAGTTGGCTAGATTTATGTAGCGCCCCGAGCAGTTAGGCCAGCCAAGTTATTAAGCAACTGATACACAACCACGTTTTTGGCTTACAGCATTGTGAGAGTTAAGTTAACCCATATCCGGGTCTTCCTTCCCACGGTGGAAGCACATTGGGATAGGCCGGATGCTCTCCCTTTACCCAACCTACTCTTCAGGACTGTTATGCTATGACAAAAATGGGACACAGAGCCTCCAGTTCTTAGAGGAAATCCAAGAGATATATTTGATGACTAATAAATAAATTGACCCAGATGTAGGATCTCAGTTTTTCCCAACCCAACCCTGCGTTGGCCTGTAGCTTGACTCAGATGGTATAGGTTCTGCTTGAGCAGTGGGCTGGATTAGAAGATCTCCAAGATCCCTTCCAGCTCCATTCTCTTCTTCTCTTCTAAGAAAGCTCCTCTCTTCTTCAGCAAAAGGTGTGTAGCTGTGGTTATATAACACACTAACCCAGGTCAGGCAAAAACCCTAGTAGCCACCTGGGTACAAAAGAATCAAGCACGCTCAGAGTTCACCGTGCCCAGGTCCTTTTCCTGGTTGATAACATGCTGTGGGAACCTAGCTTGTGGTTTGGTGAGCTGGAGGTTCAATATGCAAACTCAGAAAATGAGCTAATTCGGTCCGAGAGTCGTTAACACCCCCGCCCTGTGGGCAAATTTCAGAAGAGCGGTGGCTTCCTTGGAGTTGTAACTACAGGTAGCTTTCTATTCCCAAGAACAACAGAGCCCCAAATGTCCATTCCTAAGCAAGACGGTTATGAAACGAATTGTGCCCCCATTTTACAAACTTTTTTAGCCACAGTTAGTAAGCGAATCACTGAAGTCGTTTAGCGAATAGCGCCATTGTTAAGCAACTCTAGTTTCCTCCGTTGACTTTGCTTGTTAGAGCCAACTGGGAAGGTTGCAAATGAGGGTCATGTGACCCCCTGGACACAGCAATTATCACAAATACCTGCCCCCTACCGGCCCAAATTTTGATCACGTGAGCAGGGTACGCTTCAATGGTTGTTAAGGGTGAAAAACAGTCCAAAGCTCATTTTTTGAGGGTCATTGCAACCCTAAACGATGATTGTAAGCTGTATCATCCAGAGGGTGCAGTGAAATATTTTTTGTACAAGTAAAACCCAACAAAGAGAAGATATCGGGGGTACCTTTTCTCCCCTTTTCTCCCCTTCCCCACAACCTTGATTCCCACAGATCCTTGTTGTGGTTTGCCAGCAGCCAGTGCAGATGGCAGTAGAATCGGACAGTGAGGAAGAACAGGGACCACTCCGGGAATCTGGGCGGGACTTGGATGAGGGTCCTGCATCCGATACGGAGATGGAGCCAGGGCCATCTGGGAGTTGTGTGCTGACTCCAGAGCCTCCAGAATCTGGCAGCAGCAAGGCAGAGGAACAAGGGGAGCTTGTTCCCAGTGAGTGTGTGCACAGAGCTGCCAGAAGGCCAGAGCAGCTAAGACAAAAGGGGTGACTCGGGAGTAAAGCTTGGAGGTGATTGCCCCTTCCATAAGGTATAAAGGAGGTGCAAAGGTAGGGAAACCTTTGCAGGAAGCAAAGTCGTTTGCTCTGTTTGGATTAATCCTTGAAGCTCTGTGTGGACTTTGTACTCCGTTTGGCTTTTTACAATTCACTTGGTACTTTAGTTGCTGGCAGCAATTCAAAGGAGAGAAAGGTGAGTGCTTATCTCGAGGAACTATTTGGGACTCATTACAGGCTGGGAATGAACACAATTCCCAGCATTGAAATAAAACAAGAGTTGTTTGGACTAAGTTTGTGTCTCAGGAAGCATCCTTTTGTCCTGAGACTCTGCCTCCAAAATGAAAATTATATTTAGGAGCACCAAATCGTCAAGGACTTCAGTAACGATGGTCATTTGGATGGACCTTTTTTTCTTTCAGTTCAAGAACAGCAAGGGACCAAAAGAAAACAGGATGGAAATAGAGTCAGAACTAGGGAACATAACCCTCCTGGTCTCTTTTTGAAGCTTTCTCTTTCTCTCCTCATTCAGGCAAGGCAGCTAGAATTTCTGAATGGATTGCTGGCAATACTTAACAACAACAGCAAAAAAATACACTGAGATCACATCCAATGTGGGTGGCTCCCCCAGAATGTATCAATGCTTTTGAGTCAAAACTGTCCTAGAATTGCAGCAGGAGGTTTGGTTGAGTACCACAACAATCATGGCACTTCCTCATTTAAATTGATAAAGCCTCTTCCTGTCGATGTTTATCTGAATCACGGATAGAGCTCCATAAACTTTCTCTTTTTTTAACAAAAATTTCAGGGCATGACCTACCTCTGCATTTCAGCTTCGGACTCCTCCAATCAAAACTTGTAAGTACTTTCAAAATTGTTCCATGTGCTGTGAGGGTAATGGGGGGTAAAACTACCGTCTCAGAAATAATCGCTTTTTGAGCGGAGAAAGCAAGACAGAACAGTGAGACGGTCTTGATAGCCTTATTTTCACAACACAGAACACACAGTCTTAACAGATTAACAGAGTTGGAAGGGACCTTCTAGGTCATCTAGTCCAACCCCCCACCCAATCAGGAGACCCTATACCATTTCTGACAAATGGTAGTCCAGTCTCTTCTTGAAAGTCTCAAGTGATGAAGCTCCCATGATGTCTGAAGGCAACTTCTGTTCCATGGATTGATTGTTCTCACTGTCAGAAGATTTCTCCTTATTTCCAGGTTGAATCTCTCCATCCATTATTCCTTGTCTGGCCTTCAGGTGCTTTAGAAAATAGCTTCCACTCTGTGGCAGCCCCTCAAATACTGGAAGACTGCTCTCATGTCTCCCCTGGTCCTTCCCTTCACTAGACTAGCCATGCCCAGTTCCTGTAACCATCCTTCAATCCCCAATCATCCTGGTTGCTCTTCTCTGCACTTTTTCTAGAGTCTCAACATCTTTTTTATAGTGTGTTGACCAAAACTGGATGCTGTACTCTAGGTGTGGCCTTACCAAGTCTTTATAGAGTGGTATTAGTTCTGTTCTCATCCTTCCATTTCTTTGATTTTTTTTAAAATGCACTTCTGAGTGTCATGTATGTCTGTGTTTATTTCTCTTCTGTCATTTCTCATCATAGGCTAAATAACAATAATTTATTTCATGATGAATCAAAGCTGTTACCTGTTGCCCAAAGCAATACATTTCCAAGTGTTTCATTTTACTTGTGAACATCCTTCAAGAAAAGTGCAGGCTACTTGTACAAACAAGGGAAATTAAGTTGGATTTTGAGAAAAGCCAAATGCACAATTCTAGAACAGGTGCTACCTGGCTTAAACTTAGCAACTACAAGAGGGATTTTGAAGTCCTAGTGGACAATATGAGCATAAATATGAGCCAGCAGTGTGCTGTGGCTGCCAAAAAAGCCAATGCAATCTTAGGTTGCATTAACAGAGGGATAGAAGCAAGATCATGTGAAGTGTTAGTACCACTTTATAAGGCTTTGGTAAGATCACACCTGGAATCCTGCATCCAGTTTTGGTCACCATGATACGAAAAAGTTGTTGATGCTCTAGAAAGAGTGCAGAGAAGAGCAAAAAAGATAATTAGGAGACTGGAGGCTAAAACACATGAAGAACGGTTGCAGGAATTGGGTATATCTAGTTTAATGAAAAGAAGGATTAAGGGCGACATGATAGCAGTGTTCCAATATTTGAGGGGCTGCCAAAAAGAAGAGGGAGTCAAGCTATTCTCCAAACACCTGAGGACAGGACAAGAAGCAATGGGTGGAAACTAATCAAGGAGAGAAGCAACCTAGAACGAAGGAGGAATTTCCTGACAATTAACCAGTGGAACAACTTGCCTCCATAAGTTGTCGGTGCTGAAAAACAGTGGAAGTTTTAAAGAAGAGATTGGACAATCGGTTGTCTGAAATGGTGTTGGGTTTCCTGCTTGAGCAGGTGGTTGGACTAGAAGACCTCCAAGGTCCCTTCCAATTCTGTTATACTTCTAGAAAAAAAAAGTATGGTGTGATTGACCAGATGAGATCCTGGAATAAAAAGATGTGGTGGCATTGATAGGAAAATGGGTGAAATATTCAGGCGATGGACAAGCTATGCTGATCCCTGCCTTCTGAACCGATGGGTGGGCAGAACGTTTGAAAAATGCACAAGGTTGTGGCTTCAACCCATACAGGTTTGCAGACAGAAAAATGAACTAACTTAATTACACGAAATCAGCAGATCACCCAAACAATTCTTGAACCTCTGAGTTCTCCACACTTACATACATCTTGTGTTCCTTTTATGAATGTGTGGCTACTAGTTAATAACCATGTGTTAAATTTATGTGCTGCCCTAGCGGAGCATTGGTTTTTTTGCTTTGAAAAGTTATTGCCGGCATCTTTTGATTTCCTTTTTTCCATTTTGAATTCCTCTCCCCACCCCATTTTTGAATGTCGAATTCGACATCTTTCGAACGTTTGAAGCCCAAGATGGAAGTGTTTTTGCAAGCATCTTCTCCTCTGAGCTAAATATTCCCTCTGAAAAGATTTTTGGTGAGAATGTCCTTCTTCAGCAGAATTGGGTGGTTATTCACTCCTCCCCTCTTCCCTCCATCTTTTTTTTGTGCAATCGCAACATGCCTCCCGGCAGTGGGCCGAAAGAAGGAAACTCTGTTCTGGAGTGCTTATTTTTTGCACTCTGTTTTGGAGTCCAGATTTCGCAATCTCCAATGAACTTTGAAAGGGTTTTCCAAGAAGCTAGTTGAGAACGAGGTGGCATGGATTGACCCTTCTGCCACAAATTAATGGCAGCATTTGGGAGCCCTCTTCTGCTCCAAAAATAAGGGGTGGTGGTGAGAGGAGGAGGATGGCTCCTGGAAGGATCTTAATCCCAGAACATCACCCCAAATCCTGGGTTGTCGTGAGGAACAGCAATAGTGTATTGAATTTTCTTTCTTGAATTCTGACTTGCTCGTCAAGAAAACTGTTTAGTTAAGAGTCACAAAGGAAGTGATGTTTTTTTTCCTCTCTCCAATCCAGAATACAACATTTTAAAGAGTGCATCAGGTTTATTCATGAATGTAGACTGCATGGTGGAGGCTGTCTCATTCACTGGTATGTAGTCCTGCCTTTTTTTTGTTGTTGTTGTTATTTTCCCAGAAAAACCTGGGAAACTCTAGGAATTTAAATATCTGCAAATAGACATACCTTTAAATCTTGTGGTTTTACTAAGAAGCATTGTAGCGGTGGCGATGGTGAAATGTGGCAGGGGAATTTTAGGAGGTGACCAAGTCCACAACTGCTAGCTGGGGAATTCTGGGAGTTGAAGTCCACAAATCTTAAAGTTGCCAAGTTTGAAAACCCTGATCTAGTTGTGCTGTTTGTGAAATATTGCATTCCCTGATCGGCCCCCAAAAGTCCACCAGTGCACATCCATAGACGAAGATGGACTTGAACCCAAGTCTTCTCAAGCCTCACCAGACACCTTAACCATTTCACCTTACTGGCTCCTATCTTGTGTCTTGCTTAGTTAGCTGAATCCAGTTAATTTTGGCTCGTTAAACAAGCCATGATTATAGAACAATCTAATGTGAGGATGGGCAATTACAAGTTGGCCATTTTTGTTTGTCTTGAGTGAAAAACTCTTGCAAATCCTGAGTCTGTTGTGAATATTTTCCATGTCTGAGGAAACTGAAGACCGTTGTTTCTTCCTTCTGTCAACACAGCTTAGCTGGAGTTTCTCGCAGCACCACGATTTTGGTGGCCTACCTGATGACGGTAACCCACCTTGGCTGGAGAGAATGTTTGGCTGCTGCCAAAGTTGTCCGTTCCTACGTGAGCCCCAACTTTGGCTTCCAGAAACAGCTTCAGGAGTACGAAGCTACGTTACTGCAGGAGGTATGGCACGCCAAGGGCACCTTGTTTGACCCTGGAGTCCTTATGGGCAAATCTTTGTGCGCTTGTGTCCTTCTCTGTAGCCATTAATTTGCTTTTATTAATGACTTGTTTTATTATTATTACTTATTTATTTATCACATTTATATAGCTGCCTGTCTCACCAAAGGGGACTAAGTTAATGCTTAGGAAGTCTTTGGGGAAACAGATGGGTAAGGCAAGAACGTGAATTGGTACGACAGGCAAGAAAAGACGAGTGCACTGAGTCATGAGCTCTATGTAACGCCATGATCTTGTACTGCACATGTGTGATGTGCCTTCCTTGCATGTTTGTAACCAGGGGTTTGTAAGGGCTGGGTGAGAGAGCCAAGGGGACCTCATCATACAAGCTTTGGTCCCCTCTTTGTATGGGTCGCCTTGGTCCTCTCATCCCAGAGAGAATTTCCCAGCGCTGCTTCCTCCGTTGTTCCTATCAAAACACGGAACTCAGCAGGAACCTCGTAGGCTAACATGGAATTGTTGATTTTTGATTGCAAAGTGCAGTCAACGCCACATCCATTTCAATGTACATCGTGTGTGCAACGCAGGTAAAAAAATCATTCCATGGCATAGTTTGAGTTGTCATCTTGACTTTCTTTTTTTTTTTGACCCTCCTACCCAGATCCCCATAACTCAAAATCTTGAATATCTAACCACGCCAGGAGTGAAACTCTGCTTTCTCCCAGGCCAAGTGAATTTACTCTGGCCTCACTTCCTTTTTCCCCCAACCACTGAAATCAGGACCTTCTGAGAAAAATAGTCTGCTTGAAGTGGGATGAGACCAAGTGGGAACAGGAGCTGAGAGTCACAGTGCAGAGAAGAAGAAAAAAAAACTTCAGAGAAAACAAACAACGGTTGCAGAAGTACCGAGCTTGGGATTCCCCCCCCCTCCCAAACAGCTCAAATGTCCTTCCCCCAAGAAATGCAGTATGTGTGGAAGCTGGTCTGTGGCACCAGAGGGCAGAATGTTGAGGCTGGGATCACCACTCATCCAGCCTACCAACATGTAATTTTCTGCCTTTCAAAAGAAGCATTGGGTGTGGGAATAGATGCCTGTTTTCAGGCTGTAACTGAGAGCACCAGACATTCAACGAAAGGAAGGCACATCCTTCTTTTTGGTCCCTCATCTTTTCCATCTGGCAGGTGTAGCCTCAAAACCAAATATTTGCTGAATTTTTGAATATTTGAGCCAGGGTTTCTCAGTGCTACAGCGCATCCTTGCTAAGTACTAAATCAAAGGTGTCCAACCTTGGCCACTTTAAGACCTGTGGACTGGCTGGGGAATTTGGGGAGTTGAAGTCTTTTGGGTCTTAAAGTGGCCAAGGTTGAAGAGCCCTGTACTAAATGGTTGTTGTTTTTTAAAAACAAAATTCAGGTAATGCTATTCCATGGATGAATAATCTTTTCATTAAAATCTGTTAGTCCGATAGAACTCCACCAGGCTGCTGATTTTTGATAATGAGTAGAAGGGTGAGTGGACAGTAATTTAATATCTTCACAGAAAAGGAGAAGACTGGAGCTCCTGATATATCGTGGTACCAAAGTAGAACTGCTCCTTTTAGAGGCAGTCTACCTCTGAATAACTGTTGACTTCTTCCCATGCCTTGTTGAAAGGGCTTCCTGGAAGACACTGATCAGTAAGATCATGAGCTCCAGGTTGACCTTTAGAGTCACAACCACAAGGCTGACTTGGGGCTGTTCCACTCCTCCTGACTCTGAAACTGAACGAGATACCACTTTCTCTTTCACATTGAGTCTCTGAAATGAATTTACACTTCAGCTTCACCCTTTTCCAGGTAGCTAATTCGTGCAGGATGGGCTGCGGATCCAAGTCTTGATAATCACGTGGTCAAAAAGCCAAGCCAGATGTAAAACCAAATGCACTTTGATGATTGACATCTTGAATTTTTGACCACATCCTGCAGTAGTGGGTGACATATACCCTGAGTTTTCATTTCTCGAGGTTCTCTGATTTCTGATGCTTAATCCGCCCCACCCCCTGAAACCCAAAGCATTAGAGCCTCCCCTAAATGTCTACTTAGAGAGAGTAGGAGAGAGAGTGGCATAAGTGGAGGTGGGGTTAAAAGAGGAAGCAGCCTAGAATCCCTGCGTAATCACAAGCGAACTAAATTCAGTTCCCTGACCCTCATCTAACTCCCTAGGAAGTCCTTACCGCTACTTGAGAGGGTTCCTGTGTAGAGGCTGTTTTGTAATAAATCAGTTTAATTGGACTTTGATAGGGGGGCCTGAACTTTTGCACCTGGCAGGAAGTTAGTGAAAATATTTCTCATTCTTCTATCTAGCATACTATCTTTTCCTTCATTATGGGCACTTAAAAAAAAAAAGACACCTTTCGGCTATTCCTAGAATAGCTAAAACATTCATTCATTCATTATGCATAAGGTGAAAAAAAGTTTTCTTTTGGAAATCCCGAATGAGCATTGTTGCAAATCATAAGATTTCTTAAAATAGACAGACAGGCAGGTAGACAGACAGACAGGCAGGCAGGCAGGCAGGCAGAGATTGACAGAGAGACAAGGATCGATGGATGGATGGATGGAAAGATAAGATAGATAATGGTGGAGGAATGGGGCTAGATAAATAGATGATAAATAGATGATAGATAGGTAGGTAGATAGGTAGATGCTGGAGGGATGTGGAATAGAGGGATAGATAGATAGGGAAGGAAGGATGGGAAGAGAGAGAGATTGAGATTTTTTTGAGGGGGTGTTTATATGTTTTTATGGGTGTGCTTTTTCCGCTAACACTGGTTTGCAAAGAAAGCCAAATTTTGTGTTACGTTGTCTGATCAGCAACAGTTCGGAGCAGCTCCTCAAAAACGTCTAGCAAATTACGCGCTTGCAGATCTGAAGCCGAACAAGATTGTGTAAGCAGAATGTGAACAGTGGGAAAGGGAAATGAAAAAAAAACAACAAAAACAAACCACTTTCCTTTTTTTCTTTTCTTTTTGGAAGTCCAATTTTTATGCTGGCCCCGGGTAAAAGTGGAGTTCAGAGGCTTTGAGAATCTTTAATTAATGAAGCACCCAGATGAGGCTTGATTGGAACGGCATGGTAGTATTAGAAAAACCAAGTGAGCTTCGGATCTTCTTCATAGTGCCCAGAATGGGTAGTGAAGTGCCACGTGTTTTCCTGTTTCAAAACAATTTGTGGCTGGTTTCAGGCGGGGGTGGGGTGAGGGGGGGTAGGGGCTCAGTGACCCGAAGAGGAGGTATGTCAGGAGAGACAAAAATGTTTAAAAAATTCCCACTGGAAGTCCCCCAAAACTAGCCAGAGCCCACTGGTGGAAATTAATGATCAGGGGACCTTAAAGGCTGCTATGAATGGAATTCACAGCCAGCTCTGATTGGTGCTGGTGAAACTCCTCTTTCTCTCTCTCTATCGTTGACGTTTTGATGCTTTACTCATGCCCTCCTCGCGTGGCTTTGTGAAAGTGACAAGGGTATTTTGCTACTCTCTGGGTTCAAATTAAGACTCGCCAAAGGCTGTTCCAGAGGGGTGGAAATTTGGTGACGATGCTGAAACTGCATTGGGCTTCTGAGACTGCATGTTATTATTATTATTATTTTTTAACTAGGGAGCAGTTGAGTAAAGTTGTTTTATTCAAGAAGAGCAACTAAGATGATCAGGGGTCTGGAGGCTAAACCGTACATTGAGAGAATGCAGGAATTAGGTTGTGTCTAGTCCAGTGGTCGCTGGTGGTCTGTGAGAAAATTTTGGGGGTCTGCAGAAAAATGTCACCCCCAAAGCACCCCCCCCCCAAACGACTAATCCAGGGTGCATGGGAACACAAGGCTGCGCTGCCCACATGGCCTGCAGGAACACAAGGCTTGCATCACTTGCATTGCGCACAACACGAGGTAGTGAGGGGAGGGGGGAAAGGGTGGAGGGGAGAACTTGCCCTACTCTCCCCATGTGCCTGGTCTGGCCACCAGGCTGCTTCTTTCTGCTTCTTTCTTCTTCTGCTTTTGGCTGCACGCAAGGAAAGCAGCAAAAAATCTTTCTTTCTCTACCCCAAACTACGCCAGAAATGAGTCTTTGGGACCCTGCAAGGCCTCCTGCTCCAAGAGGCTGCGTGTGCGACAAATCTCACAAAGACTCATTTCTGGTGGAAATTGGAGGAGAGAAAGAAAGACTTCTGCTGCTTTCCTTGCATGAAGCCAAAAGTCTCTCTCCCCCTGAGAACGGAGCTGGAGACAGTATCCTGTGATCCCAAATAAAGAAAAATTGATCGGTAGGAAAACAGTGGGGAATTTTCCTGCAGACTTTTTGGGGGATTTTCCCTCTGGTCCGCGGGATTTAAAATGATGAGTTTGGTGGTCGCTGAGGTCCAAAAAGTTGGCGACCCCTGGTCTAGTCTAATGAAGAGAGGGTTTAGGGGGTGACATAAGAGAGGAGGGGGGGGGTCACCCTGTTTTCCAAAGCCCCAAGGACAGGAAGTAATAGGTTGGAAGACCATTAAAGAGAGACCCAACTTAAAACTAGGGAGAAATTTCCAGATAGTGAGAACAAACAGTGGAACAGTTTGCCTCTGGAATTATGGGTGCTCCATCACTGGAAGTTATCAAGGAAAGTTTGGAGAGCCATGTGTCTTGAATGGTACAGGGTCTCCTAATTGAGCAGGAAGTTGAATTAGAAGACCTCAAGGTTGCTTCCAGCCCTATTATTCTGTGCTCTATGTTCTACTTCCAGCTTAACTCTGGCTTAGGAGGACTAATAGAAGTTTAGTTCTGGAAGGAAGTGATCATGTTGCAGGTCCATGGAAGTCCATGGATCATGGAGATAGAAGATCCCTGACATAGACAGTGTATATGTCTGGGTGGGGTGCATGGGTCTTAGGCAGGGGTGGGATTCTACCAGTTCGCACTTATTCGCTAGAATAAGTTAACATTCTAAGCAGTTCGGAGAACCGGTTGTTGGAAGAAATTACAGGGCTAATCCTGTAAGGAAGGCAGGAAGGAAACATTTCTGTTGCTTACAGAAACTGCCTCTCCATTAACCCTTATTACATTCTTGGCAGGACTAGACTTCCTGTCTCAGGAATTCTCTGGAGTTTTTTCCCCCCTCCTTTGCTGGTACTTTGCTTGTGTGGAGTGACCATTCGAAGTTACAATGGCACTGAAAAAAGTGACTTATGCCCATTTTTCACACTTACGACTGTTGCAGCATCCCCACAGTCACGAAAGGTCAGGCAAGGAGATGCATGCCTTGATGTGAGTGATATTGAGTTGGCCACACCCAGCCAATAACAGGACCACCAAGCCACGCCCACCAACTAAGCCACGCCCACAGAACCGGTTGTTAAAAAGTTTGAATCCCACCCCTGGTCTTAGGTGACCCCTATCTGTCCTCTAAAGACAACATTTTCTCCTTGAGTTGACTATAGCCTGTTCACTGACCTTTCACTCTACGTACTCTCTGTACCTTAGCCCAACCTTCTCAGTTATGAGCTCCTCTGGTATTTTGTCTTGGCAGTACCGAACCTGGGTCCAGATGGAATATGGCAAGAACCCCCTCCCTGACCAAGAGGAGCTACAGCGGTTGCTCTCCCCCAGAGAAGAGAAAGTAAATGAGCCACCAATAGAACTCGGAGAAACCAAGTGGAACGGTACTGCTCCAGGCCCTGCCAACCACCAGCCACACACCAGATATGGTGACAGCAGCACCAGCGGCCACCACCAAGGAACTAACCGATAACTAGAGGAGCATTTGGAAAGAAGCTTTTTAGCTTCTACTTTTGATCAATATGAAGAGGTTGTTGCAGGTCCTTCCTTTCTGGTCCTTCTTTGAATGTGTTCAGACTCCTTGTGGGTTGGGCTGCAACAGTGGACTTCTCCAGAGGTCAACTTAAGTGCCTTTTGCTGTCCACTTGGAGGCTGTCCATGACAAGAAGGAAAAATGGGGTCATTTAACAGTTTCAAGGAGGAGGGTATGCAATTATCCCAAGTGTCTTGCTGGCTGAGAAGAGGCCAAGTATCTCGGAAATTCTTGAGGAATGTTCTCAAAAGTGACATGGAGAACACTTTATTTGAATTGTTGTTCTTGTTAGTTGCGAAGTCGTGTCTGACCCATTGCGACCCCATGGACAATGTTCCTCCAGGCCTTCCTGTCTTGTTCCATCACCCGGAGTCCATTTAAGTTCATGCCGCCTGCTTCAGTGACTTCATCCAGCCTCCTCCTTCTCTGCCATCCACCTTCTTCTTCTATTGCCCTCCATTGTTCCCAGCATTAGGCGCTTCTCCAGGGAGTCCTTCCTTCTCATTAGGTGGCCAAAGTCTTTGAGTTTCATCTTCGGGATCTGGCCTTCTAAAGAGCAGTCAGGATTGATCTCCTCTAGGACTGACCAGTTTGATGGCCTTGCAGTCCACGGGACTCACAGGAGTCTTCTCCAGCACCAGAGTTCAAAGGCACCATTCTTTGGTGCTCAGCCTTCCTTAAGATTTGAATAGGAGTGATGAACATAGTTAACAGGAGCATCTATCTTGGGAAACAGATAACTTTTTAAAATTAGCAATAATCCTTAGAATTGGGAGTGATTTCAGCTTCTGAGAAACAGATTTTATTAGGTTTGCTTCAACTATAATTTGAATTAGTGCCCCAAATTAGATGCACTGTGATGGGAACATTATTAAGATAAGTCACCAATAAACTTAAATAATATAAATCAATATGATGTTTACATGAACAATAATAATACCCAAGCCTGGAATTCTCTACTAACTATCTAGGGATCTATCATGTTATCGGATTGCCCTAAGTTTCCTTCGTGATACTGCTTAAAGGGATTTTCACACACATGTTCAAAAGAAGCCCGTACGCTAATCTTGTTCTTCAACCTTCACACAACCACCATCAGATCCCACAAATAGTTAACTAGGAAAGGGAGCCCCATTTTGCCATTAATACTGGGGATCTGTGGGCAAGATTATTGAACAGAAGCTCCACCCTTTCAATTTAGTTCGTTAACATCGTGATCCATTTTGGATGAGGTGGCTATTCTTGTTGCAATAGTGCTTAGATCAGGGGTCACCAAAATTTTGGACCTCAGGGACCACCAAACTCATAATTTTAAATCCCTTGGACCACTAATATGAATTTTGACTGAGGGTGGCTTGCTAACGTTTTCCCAGGGTCTCTGCAGAAAGCAGCAGAGACCCTGGGAAAATCCCCCCAAAAAGTCTGCAGGAAAATCCCCCACCCCGTTTTCCTACCGATTGATTATTCTTTATTTGGGATCGTAGGATATCATCTCCAGCTCCGTTCTCAGGGAGAGAGAGAAAGAGAGAGGGAGGGAGGGAGGGAGGGAGGGAGGGAGAGGGAGGGAGAGAGAGAGAGAGAGAGAGAGAGAGAGAGACTGACTGACTGACTGACTGACTGACTTTTGGCTTCATGCAAGGAAAGCAGCAGAAGCTGCAGAAGTCTTTCTTTCTCTCCCCCAAACTCTGCCAGAATGGCGCAGCCTCTTGGAGCAGGATGCTTTGCAGTATCCCAAAAACTCATTTCTGGTGGAGTTTTGGGGAGAGAAAGAAAGACTTTTGCTGCTTTCCCTGTGTGCAGCCAAAAGCAGAAGAAAGAAGTGGAAAGATGTAGCCCGGTGGCCAGGCGAGGCACATGGGGCAAGTGGGGCAAGTTCCCCCCCTCTGCCCTTTCCCCCCTCCCCTCACTATCTCATGTTGTTCTCAATGCAAGCGACGCAAGCCTTGTGTTCCCGCGGGCCACGTGGGCAGCGCAGCCTTGTGTTGCTGTGCAGCCTTAATTGCTTTGGGGGGGTGTGCTTTAGGGGTGACATTTCTCTGCAGACCACCAAAATTTTCTCACAGACCACCAGTAGTCCCTGGCCCACTGGTTGGCGACCACTGGCTTAGACCTATATACCGCTTCACGGTGCTTCACAGCCCTCTCTAAGCGGTTTACTTAGTCAACCTCTTGCCCCCAACAATCTGGGTCCTCCTTTTACTGACCTCGGAAGGAGGGAAGGCTGAGTCAACCTTGAGCAGTGAGTTAGTCGTGTGTGCAAGAACTGCCTTCCCCAACCCCCAAGCCAAATTCCTTGCCTCCTTTGCTTAGCTCCTGGTCTGCAGCCTCAATGGAGAAGCAACTGCAGTTTTGGCTGTGGGTCAAAATGGCTTATGGGGGAAGTTCAGAAGCAGCCCAGACAGCTTGTCTGCAAGTGGCACCGGAAGCTCACATGGGAACTCAGCTCGGAAAGAGAAAAGCTGCTGCCACTGGTAGGAACAGGAAATCATCGTAGATATATGATAAGCAGAGATTACTTTTACTACCATGCTACCAACAGATCGAAGCTGCTACGGCAGGATACGTCACTGAAGTGAGAGCATTTGATTCCTAGATCCCAGCCGGAAAGATCTCCCACCAGTTGCTGTCTCACAGGGTGCACAATCCGAGTTTCTGGGAGAAAAGGGCCTGGGTAGGGAAATCGGAGGTGAGAATCATATAGGGACAATATCTTGGGGGGGTTCCCCTCATCAAGGTTCAAAAATCAAATCTCAAAGTTTACTTTTTATCCAAGAAGGTAGATGAACAAGGTCTCTGGATGTCCCCAAAGTGCAGTTTTTTCAAAAATCAACTGGACTTTCTTTGTTCTTCCATGAAGACAGATCTCATCCAAGAAGCTTCTTCAGTTCTGACTGAAAAAGCTTCTTGGATGAGAAGCGAAACGTCTTTGTGGGAAAACCACAGGGCTGTAGCCCCGTCCCTTTTCAACTCCTAGTAGCAACTCAGTTTGCTCCAACTATACTCCAGCTCCGTTTCTAAAGTCATTTGCTAAGAGGTGAGCAATGTTGAACTGGATAAATGTTTTGAAGTCTTTTGTACCAGACTGTCGAGATATGAACAATCATTAGCCATCCTTTGGGTTTCCAGGAATTTAGGAGGAAGAGGAGATAACTATGAATTGTGAATTTCCAAGAAACAAAGGAGCAGATATTTTGACCCAAGCCTTGATGACTTGTGAGAACCTTACTTCCCTTTTCAAGATTTGTCTGTTGCAAAGATTGAGCAGATTCCAAAGGAGAATATTTGTAGTTCAGGGTTGAAATTACCCAAAGTAGGTAACATCATCAGTGGTAGTGTTGATGTTACCTAGTTTGGGTAATGAAACGTCTGCAAGAAAATAACCAAGAGTACCAAAGACCACCACCTCCTCCTCCTCCTCCTCCTCCTCCTCC